ATGCTAAATGTGAAGCTGTTCTTTGCCATAACTTTCTGAGGTGGCTCAAGTATTTCTGTTTTCTTGATGGAATCGATCACTACCTAAGTGGTTCAGAAATATCTGAGACTTACTTGGGCTGGGTGCGATTCGGACTGGGATGATTCCTAGGCTATGTGTGCAGTAGCGACATCACCTGCCACCACTCCACCTTTCATTTCTGTGGGAATGGCTAACGGTTACTTGTGGTCATTAGAGCTTCCAGTGAAGGAAGGCAATTCGTATGTTGTCAGATCTCGTACCACATAACGACGCTGCATTTGTTAATAAGGAACCTCGTTCAGCTGCAAAAAAAGCGAACGCTGTCTGAGACGTTATACGGACGACATGAAGTAATTTCCCATCGGAAATTGCTTTCGGGGTCCGGCTAAAAGATGGCTGGGAGCGTGTTTCGTCGACTTTGTCGGTTAAATGGGGATAGAATAGTGATAAGGAGTTGAATAAGTTGAGAGAGGGGGACCAGTGGTCAACTTGGATCACAGCGGCGACCTATAAAAAGCGATGAATCCAAAAAGGAGTTTGGAAATATGCTCGATTTGATGGTTTCATAGGACCATAGGAAGAAAACTGAAATTCTTAAGAAAACTATTTCGCCAACATTTCTTGTCTGATAATTGTGCATTGTCTCGAATGTATAGATGCTACCTGAACTATTAAAATACGCTGCTTCCAGAAATTTCCAGTCACCTACTGAATTAATAAGTCTTTTTGATTCAGGTAGGACGGTGGAAAATTACGGAGACGGCGAATCGAGTGCATGCGGCTGCCGAAGCGCTCGCTCGATCCCAGACGACCCCAAGGGTGAGTAGCCATAGGATTTACCTCCCGATAGCGAGTCCAACAATACGGCACATATTCTTTGCAGACGGACGAGTCACGGCCTTCAGTGTCATCTGAACGAAAAGACGTGCCACCGCCGGCTCCGCCTCTTCGACCAATCATCACTCACACTTCTCCAGAAGGAGAAGCTGTCGCCGAAGCGGATGTGCATCTTTCTCCTGTCACTGAAGAACCAAGCAGCGGTACTGATCAGGTGAGTAGCGATATCATAGCGCGTTTTCATTCCCTTTCTATCAAGCTTAAATTTTCAGCGAAGTCTTCAAGACGAAGAACGCGGTGCAGTGCAAGGCATGGAACTTTTAAGCGACTTGAAAGAAGAAGGAAGTGACACCTTATTACTGGAGTTGAAAAAGGTAGGTATATTCAGACGTAACACATTTGTAATAACTCCAGAAAACTTATATTATCTGAGGTAAAATTTCTGACAAATAGCTGAGAGAAGTTGAAGAATAATCTGAAAAATCACTGCCCATCATTGATTCAGCGCTACAATTCAACTGGGCCTACTTGGATAAGGTTTTCAAAGCGGGCCGCTAGGTGAAGAATCTGGTTGCACTGATGCAGTACTCATACACACCCTATTTCTCTTTAAAAAAGCTGCATGGCATTTAGTGGACCGTTAAAAACACAACTCTGGAAGAAGTCATGTGAACGGTTCCCTCCGGTCTTTAGAATAGACGCCTAGAAGACAATCACAAATATGACACTCCTGTGCATGGAAATCGCACGAAAAGGGCACTAGGGCCTTGCAAAATAAGCTGCACCAGCCAATGTTCCCGTCTGCAGCATGCTGTTGTCTGGCGCCTCTCTCATCTGTTGCGCTCTCTCGCCTCATACTCTCCTCTCCGCCGCATGGTCCCTCATTGCCTTAGCGCAGACCGCCTTACGAGGTGTACAACCCTTTAAACCCATGCGATTTCGACAAATTCTTCTTTTTTTAAAAGGGCCAATAATTTCGTATTGCTGGCTAGAGTCAAGACCACGGTGATCTTGGGCTGATTTTAAAGGCAAGCCGGGGATAAAACCTGGTGTCATCGGGAGCGCTCGTAGTGGGAACTCCAGCTGCAGCAATGAATCCAAAACTGGAAAAGGAAAGCAGGAGAATATAGCTGAATCGCTGTGAAATCAAAGCCTCACACTTAAGATAAAGTCTGGTGTGATCACGAACGGCGACGACAGGGTGATCAAAAACAATGCAGATAGAGATGCACACGCGAGAGAGCACGCCGTTCAAGAGAGCACGCTGATCTTACATCATCGCGGTGGGTGGGAAGCGTTGCAACGGGGTCGATGGTTGCAGGCCCGTAAGGATTAGCGCCCTAACCGCGCAATTTGTGCGACGAAGCTGGCATGATCTATGTAGGTACAGACCCTACAATTTCCCTCACGGTATCCTTCCTACTAGTTAGGCTACGGAGCTTGCTTAGAAGAATATGCTAGATTTTCTGGGAACTCCAACAAAAGTTGATCTCCCGGTGAAGTGTTCTGCAGACGGTTGGCTTATTTCTTTAAGCAACTAACACCTACTTGTATCCTTGCTTCGGCTACTTCTGAAAGGATTAATCTCCTTTCTCTAAGGAAAGCCCTTGTCACAGTAGCAGTAATCGCGAACAGCTCTTACTCATTGAAGCCTAAATCTAACTTCCCAGCAAAACAGCAAGGCTGTCAAAGCCTCCGAACTAAGCTGCTTCTGTTGGCCTAGTTTCACCCTTATTTCAGAGAAATGGGGAGTATAATACTTAGACCGTATTTGCATTCATCGATTCATCATGCAAGAACGCAGAAAAGGACGCGTTAGAAACATGGTGTCTGCCCCCTCTTGTCCGATGTGCCTCTTCGCCTTTCCTCTCTTCTCGGCCTTCAGTGTCCCATTGTATTGTAGTAGGTACACCACCAAGAAAAAAAGAAGGCCCTTAACTCAGTGGTTTTGGTGGAACTATTATGCTTTTTTCATCACAGCTTGTCACGCCATGCTTTTTGTGCAAGGACCACACCATTTCGTCCATGGATTTTCCTTAAAGGAAGAACCAGACGTACTTGCGCTTATCGGACAGGCGTGCAAAACGAAACATCAGCGCGCCTCCTTGTCCTTCTCAGCATACGCCTCAGTGGTGAATAGTGCGCTCTAACAGTTACAGAGATAACTACAGCTACTGAATCACCCATTGTCAGTAGGTACTTTCGTGAAGTGGACATTCACTTAAGCTCAAGCTGCCTAGCTTCCAAGAGAAGAAAATTACCGAAAAATTCCCTACTCCATGCGAAGAAATGAACGGGCTTGAACGCTATAGTAGCCTCAAGAATACTCACCGTTTCAGATTCCTGATCAACAACTCGGAATGGGCATCGGAAAACGGTCTCGTGGAATTCTCGTTACCTCTCTTCAGCCTGGTTCAGCTGCCGCTGAGAAGTTGAAAGTCGGTGATCGAATACTGGCCGTGAACGCGTTACCTGTCACCGATCAGGTTTGTCACTAACAAATTTTCCTATTCAATTACCTTCCTGAAAGACCATTTTTTCAAAAAAAAATCCGGCAGAATTGGGTCTTTTAAGGTCGTAGGGGTAAGTCGAGAATCAAGAA